CGAGATGGTCTCGATGTCCGACGTCCCCTTGGAGATGGCCACGGGGATGAGGTAGTCCTCGCCCGGCGGGCTCGCGCCCGCGGACGAGATCGTGCTGTGCGGGAGGCGGACCATGTCGTCCTCGAAGATGGGCCGCTGGGCCTTGGCCTCCGGCGCGACGGCGGACACGATCTCGAAGTTGATCTGCGAGTCCGGGATGTGGACGATGAGCGAGAAGAAGGTCCGGCCCGTCGTGCCGCCGTCCGTCGTGTGGACGTCGCTGTTGTCCTTCCAGCGGAGCAGCATGTAGGCGACGCCGTCGCGCTCGAAGTCGTTGATGTAGGAGTCGAGCGAATTCGCGACGAAGACCGTCGCGAAGTCCATGAAGGCGTCGTATTCGCCCATGGTCCCGAGGCGCGCGTTGAAGTGCGCCTCGACCGTCGCGACGTCCGTGTCGCCCGCGGGCCGCTTCGCCGCGTTCACCATGTGGATGCCGAAGCACGGCGTCGCCTCGCCCTCGTTCGTCCCGTTGAGGGCCAGGCGCACGTAGCTGCCGCAGCCGCCCATGCTGTGCTCGCAGAGCGAGTAGTCCGTGAAGCCGCCGTCGGACTCGCACTCGACGGGGAAGTAGCTGCGGAGCCACTTGCCCGTCGTCGCGGGCTCGGAGACGGAGAACGTCTGCTTCGAGATGGTCAGGTTGCAGTACGCCGATTTCAGCGACCCGAGCTCCGTCGCCGTCGCCTCGACGGGCCGGCGCGCGAACGCGGCCGCGACGCCGCCCGCGAGCAGTCCCAGTCCGACGAGGCCCGCGGCGAGTTTCCGCGACGGCCGATTCGGCACGACGACGGGTTCCCGCGCCACCGCGGCCGGGGATGGCGACGCGAGGAGCGTCTCCGACTCCATCTCCATCTTATATCGATCGACCCAGACGCTGCCCAAACCCGACGCGCGCGAAATCTTTGGCCGATGATAGCTACGTTGAGGCCAACATTGCCACTGGCGAGCGCTCGACGACATCGACGCCGTCGGCAGCACGACGTCCACAGCGGCCATGAGCGCGCTGGCCAACGCCGCCGACAAGATGACGCTGTCCGACAAGGACCTCGAGGAGCAGACGTCGGCCTGCGTGCGCGCCTGCTTCCGCCAGCGTCGAGCGACGGGAGTGTTTTTTCGCGTGAATGTCGCCTGAAGATGTGAAGAAATCCGACCCCGTCGCACTTGGTAGGCTTCCGCGGCGACGTCGAAGCGCTGAAAGCCGTCCTCGCGGCGACCCCCGACGCCGCCAGGGGCGCCGACGCGTCCTTCAACGACAGCACGCCCCTGCACGTCGCCGTCGGCGAGGGCGAGCTCGACTGCGCCAGGGCGCTGCTCGCGGCCGGCGCGGACCCGAACGCGCGCGACTGCGAGGGGCGGACGCCGCTCCACCAGATCGAGTACAAGTGCTCGGCGGACCTCGCGGGCGCGGTGCTCGACGCCGGCGGCGACCCGAAGGCGACGGACCGGCGCGGCTGGACGCCGCTCCACTGCGCGGCGGCGATGATGGCCGTCGACGCCGCCGCCGCGCTCCTCGCGCGCGGCGCCGACCCCGACGCGGCCGCGGCCGACGGCCTCACCGCCGTGGCCATCGCCGCGCGCGGCGACCCGGACGACGTCGACGACGTCTGCGGCGACCACGACGACGACTACGGCGACGTCTTCGGCGCGCGCGACGCCGGCGGCGCCGCGCCGGCGCCGCTGCCCCGGCGCAACCACCTCGTCCTCGAGGCGCTGCTGGCCGCGTCGTCGAAGCCGGAGACGGACGCGCCGCCCTGGGTCACGCCGGACCTGGACCGCCACGACTTCGCGCTCGCGCCCTACGACGCGCCCGCGGACGACCTCTGGCGGCCCGGCGCCGTCGTCGACGTCCGCGTCATGGCGGCCATCGACGGCGACGACAGCGACGAGGACTCGGCCGACGAGGAGACGGACGTCGTCGAGGAGAACGTGTCGGCCCAGCTCATCGAGCGCGGCGGGCCGGGCGACGGCTTCTGGCGCTGCTTCCTCGTCGCCACGCCGCCGCGGCTCGAGGAGAAGGCGCCCCAGCTCATGCTCCTCAAGGGCCGCGAGCTCGTCGTCCCCATCAAGCCCGAGGACCCCACGGACCCCTAGTCATAACTCGCGCTCGATCTCCGCCGGAGGACCCCACGGACCCCTCGTTATAAATCGCGCTCGATCTCCGCCCGAGGACCCCACGGACCCCTCGTTACAAATCGCGCTCGATCTCCGCCGTCGTCCGCGCGCGCGCCTTTTCGCGCGCCCGGAGCTCGCGGAGGCACGCCAGAGCCGCGCGCGTGACGGGCGTCAGCGCCGGGAAGGCGCCGTCGGGCGCGTCGACGGGCACGAAGCGCAGGTCGTCGGACTCCCAGGCCTCGACGGCCGTCGCGTGGCGCGCGCGCACGGCCTCGGAGACGAGCGTCGTCCTCACGAGGAAGAGCAGGTCCGGCTTGAGGCGCGAGTCGCGCATGACGCCGATGAGCTTCGGCTTCGACAGGGACGCGAGGGGCACGCCGACCTCCTCCACGGTCTCCATGAGGATGGCGTCCTCCAGGAGCTCGCGCGAGACCGCGGCCGCGTCCAGCGGTACGTCGCGGAACCCTTCGAACCCCTTGACGCGGCCCGGCTCCGCGTGGCCCGACGGCCCGTTGTAGAGGCCGCCGTGCGTCGCCACCGCCGCCGACCGCCGGAAGAGCGCGAGCATGCCGTCGGCGGTCTCGAGCGCCGTCTCGCAGCCCAGCGCGTTCGAGAGGTGCGCGCCGCCGTCGCCCGCGAGGCGCTCCCAGTGCGGCGCGCGGTTCGTGCCCACGTACTCGCGGTAGCCCGTCAGGCCGATGCGCAGCGTCGCCGTGCCGCTGGAGGACGAGGCGCTCGCGAGCCGGAACTTGGCGCCGTCGAAGAGGTTGGGCTTCGCGTCGAGCGCGCGCGCCCAGGTCTCGTCGATGAGGTCGTCGAGCGCGTGCGGTCGTCGCGCGTGTTTTTCCTGGTCGTAGTCGACGACGACGGCCTCGCAGCAGTCCGACGGGCCCAGCAGCAGCGTGTACGGCTCCTCAAACATGCCGGGCACCGCAGGCATGTCCTGTGGATAAAACGTCACTTTGGGTGATTCGTGGCTGGTTGAGGCCCAACGGCTATCGAACGGGCAGCGACAACCCTGACGAAGTTCGTTAAAGCTTGGCGGCAAAATCGATTCCCTCGCCTGATCTTTGGTCCGATGTCACCGATCGGTGACTTAGCAACGCGTTCCAAACCAGTCGTTTAGTGGGCCGACTTTGCCGCCACAGCTTGATTGAGGATAATCAGGGTATGGCTGCCCATTTAGACGCTGCCCTCTAGACGCTACACGATGACCACAAAAGCCAAGAAGACGCTCTACTTCGTGCGGCACGCCGAATCGGAGCAGAATGTCGCGACGCGGGACCTCCACGCCGGCAGGCAAGGGGCCGCTCGACGCATCATCGACCTCGGCTGGGACGCGCCGCTGTCGGAGACGGGACGAATCCAGCTGGAGCACGCGAAGACGAGCGCCGAGTTCAAGGCGTGGAAGGATGACGCCAAGGTCGAGTTGATCGCCCACTCGCCGTACGTTCGCGCCGTCGGGACGGCGCGCGCGTGCTTCGAGGGCCGGGAGATCTCCGAGCTCGAGTGCCTGCACGAGCGCACGCTCAGCGAGTATTTCATTCCGTGGCTGCTCGACCGGCGCATCGGCGCGCTGCGCGACTGGTTGGACGCGCGCCCGGAGCAGCGCGTCGCGCTCGTCGGGCACGGCCAATTCTTCAAGCGCTGCCTCGGCGCGCCCGAGGTGCTGCGCAACGTCGGCGTCGTCGAGGTCGCCTACGAGAACCGCGTGTTCACGGCGAAACCGAAGACCGTGTGGCCCGGCTTCGCGCCGGGCCGCGCGGCGCCGTTGCCCGGCGAGGCGGCGCCGGTCGCGCCCGAGACCATCGACCTCAGCGACCGGGACGACGCGTCATGAAATTTACTGCCCCTGTCTACTAACCAGCTGCTCCAATGTGTGTCATAAAATCCGATTACTAGTTCCCGCCCTGGACGTGGTTCTCGACGACGTCGATCTCCCGGCCCAGCAGGATCGAGCAGGCGAGGAACGCGACCCAGGTCAGCCCGAAGACGTAGCCCATGAAGGCATGGAGCGTGTAGTCGTAGGCGACGAGCACGCCGACGTAGACCGCGAGCACGAAGGCGAGCAGCGCGACGTCGACGACGACCGAGTAGTCGTGGAGCGCCTCGTAGGGCTCGCCGTAGACGAAGGGGTAGAGGAGCCAGGGCAGGCCGAGGCAGATGCACAAGTTGAACGTGTTCGAGCCCAGCGCGTTGGACACGGCCATGTTCGCGTGGCCGTCGCGCGCGGCGACCATCGACGACACGAGGTTCGGGAACGACGTGCCCGCGGCGCCCACGGTGATGCCGACGACGGCCGCGGAGACGCCGATCAACGCGCCGATGCGCTCGAGGGCGACGACCATGCCGTAGGATAAGCCGACGAGCCAGACCGTGCACGCGCCGCCGTTCGCCGCGAGGCGCCAGAGCGTCGCGTCGCGGCCCGGCGCCGCGAGCGTCGCGTCCATGAGCCAGGCCGCCGGCGCGAGGGCGACGTCGACCAAAAACCGCAGGACGCCCCGGGGCGTCGCGTCGCTCAGCTCCGGCACGGCGAAGAGCCGCTCGTCGGCCTCGACGACGGCCGACGCCGCGCCGTAGGCCTCGACGACGTGGGCGCCCGCGGGGCTCTCGTCGTCCTTCACGAGGAGCGCGACGACGGCCTCCTCCTCGGCGACGGCGGCCTCCTTCTCGTCGGAAACGGCGACGGCGTTCGCGCCGACGATTTTGGCTAAAAGCGACCGGCCCGACGCGCTGCACGCGTACGCGTAGGCGACGTAGAGCAGGAGGAGCGGGCAGGGGCTCCAGGCGTGGACGACGACCATGGAGTTGTCGTCGCGCCCGTCGTCGTCCGCGTAGCCGTGGCGCCGCACGTCCGCGACGGCCGCGAGCAACAGCCCGAGCGCGGCCGCGTACGCGAAGTTGTCGCGGATCGTCGTGAGCCGGTCGAGGCGCTGGGGCGTGGTCCGCGACGCGCAGACGCCGGCGAGGATCATCATGTGGTTGAAGATCTCCGAGCCGATGATCGTGCCGATGCCGAGGTCCGACTTGGTGATGAACATGGCGATGACGTTGCTGAAGAGCTCCGGCGACGACGCGCCCGCGGCGACGAGCGTCGCGCCGGCGACGTCCTTCGGGATGCGCAGGCGCTCGCTCAGGAGGATGATCGACGGCACGAAGCGGTACTCCGTGACGACGGCCATGGCCCAGAAGAGCACGCCCGACGCCGCGGCGAGCAACATGATCTCCGCGCCGGGGCTGATCATCGTTGGGTTTTGAGACGGCGCGAGCGGTGTTTATTTATGCGAACCGCAGCGATGCGCGCGCGCCGTGTTATAGATTACTTCGTCGAGCAGTCACGGCGCCGCAGAGCGTCGAGCCCGACGACGACTGCAGGGTGACGGAGCTCGGGCACTTTTCGAGCTTTACGAAATCTTCAAGGATGACTTCAGCCATCGTTCTTTGCCCCTCGGGCGCAAATCTGGAGAGCCAGTGCAGCCCCCGCGGCAGCCCATGCCGGAGTCGCCGAAGCACGCGAAGACGCTCGTCGTGGGGCGGCCGAACGTGCTCGACGAGCAGGGCTTCCTGGAAGACGTGAAGACGATCCTGCGTTCGAAGCTGCTGACGAACGGCGGCCCTTTCGTCAGCCAATTGGAGCAGGGCGCGCGCGAGTACCTCGGCGTCAAGCACGTCGTCGCCGTGAGCAACGCGACCGTGGGCCTCGAGCTCGCGCTGCGGGCGCGGCGCTTCGCGCCGGGCGCCGAGGTGCTGCTGCCGAGCTTCACCTTCGTCGCCACCGCGCACGCCGTCGCCTGCGCCGGGCTGACGCCGGTCTTCTGCGACGTCGACGAGGCGAGCCACTTCATGTCCATCGCCTCCGCGGAACGAGCGACCACGCCAAAAACCGTCGCCGTCGTCGGCGTCCATTTGTGGGGCCGCGCGGGCGACGCCGCGGCGTTGGAGGCGTTCGCGGCGAAACGGTCCCTCGACGTCTTCTACGACAGCGCCCACGCCTTCGGGGCGGCCTACGCCGACGGCGCCAAGGTCGGCACGCGGGGGCGCGCCGAGGTGTTCAGCCTGCACGCGACGAAGCTCCTCAACGGCTTCGAGGGGGGTTTGATCGCGACGAACGACGACGCGCTGGCGGTCGCGGCGACGCGGGCGCGCAACTTCGGCTTCAGCGGCCAGGACACGATCGTCTCCATGGGCACGAACGCGAAGCTCAGCGAGGTCCACGCGGCGCTGGCGCTGCGGCACCTGCGGGTCGTCGACGCGACGCTCGACACGTACCGGGCGGTCGCGGCGGCCTACGGCGACGCGCTCGGCGCCGCGGGCCTGCTCGACGGGCCCCTGACCTACTGGAACGCGCCGTTCTTGCGCGCGGACTCGGGCTGCACGCACTCCTACGTCTGCGTGCGCGTCGAGCCGGCGTTCGGCGTCTCGCGCGACGTCGTCATGGCCGAGCTCCGCAAGGCGGGCGTCTACGCGAAGCGCTACTTCTTCCCCGGCGTCCACGCCCACGCGCCCTACGCGCACCTCGCGCCGCGCGAGCCCGGCTTCCTCGCCGCGACGGACGCGCTGAACGCGTCGCTCCTCGTGCTCCCGACGGGCGCGGCCGTCGCCGCGGACGACGTCGCGCGCGTCGTCGCCGAGCTCACCGCCATCCACGGCGCGGGGCGCGTCGTCGCCGACGCGGGCCTCGCGCCGGCGGACTGGGACAAGTCGGCCTACGACACCGCGCTCGCGACCATCGAGGGCGAGCGCGCGGCGCTGCGCGCGAAGCTCGCGGACCTGGACCGAGCGGAGGCCGGCGTGCGCGACTCCCTGGCGCTGAACCTCCAGCTCGTCGCGAACGTCGAAGGGGGGCGGGGGCGGGATAAGCCGTAGATTTAGGAGCTACGCGATCACGCAGCCGCCCATGCCCGCCGGGTGCGAAGCGTCGAGGTTGGGGCCGTAGTATTCGTGGGGTTTGATGTGGGACTCGCGGATCCACAGGTCGTCATCCGGGCATGGTCGTGCGCAAAGCTCGCGCGCGCGCGTGCGCGCCTTCGCCCAGCGGGCGTCGTCGACCCTCTGCTGCCACCCCTTCAGAGTCTTGCACGTCGCGGCGAGGGACTGGACCGGCAGCCGTTCCGCGACCTCTTTTTGGACGTCGCGGAGCAGGCCGCGCGGCGATTCGACGAGGCGGGAGCGCGTGCCGACGCGGCCCGATCCGAAGTGGGGCGCGGGCACGGACGCGTCGAAAGGGAAGGTACTGACGCCCAAGCCGCCGAAGCGTAGAGCCCGGGCCTGGTAAGCAAATTCTTCGTTTGCCCAGTCGTCATGTTCGTGGAAATATTCATTTGATGGGTCATTGGCCAGTCGTTCCATCGCCATCCAGTCTTTCTCTCCCGCACCGCCGAGGTTCGCGGACACGTACGCCACGCGCACGGCGTAGCCGACCTCCGTCGGCGCGATGCCGAGGGCGCTCGCGACGCGGTCGCAGATCTCCTGGCTCGCGCCGACGTAGCGGCTCGGCTCCTCGCCGCTCGCGTTGCCCACGGCGTACTCGTACGTGATGAGGCGCTCCCATTCGCCGCCGACGCACGCGTGGACGCCCACATGGATGACGCCGGCGCACCAGCAGCCCTTGTCGCAGACGTTCTGGTTGCTCGAAAAAAAGATGAAGGGCGTGGCGCGGGGACCCATGGTCATGAGGTGGATCACCTCGCAGGAGTCGTCGGTCGCGTCCGAGTTCATCAGATCCGCCACGCCGTGATGGAACACGCTGTCCGCGAGTCTCGCGACCACGGGAGGCGCGGTGTACTCCATGGCTGGATCTTCCGTGCCGTCGTCGCCGCACTTCCAGGCCTCGAGGAGCTCGACCCGCGACGCGAACGTCTCCGTCGACGTCACGAAGAGACGCGGCGGCCGGGGCCGGGACGCTTGGCTTCGAATGACGTCGTGTTCCTTCCGGACGACGATAGACCCGCGCGTCGCGAGCGCCACGGCGTCGCCGACGGTCGCGCCCGCGATCTCGTTCTCGCCCGTCTTGCCGAGGGCCAAGGTGAGCGCTCGAAGTTCGTGGAAGCCCCCGAACTCGATGACGACGCTCAGCGTGCTCCGGTCCAAGGAATCGACGCCCTTCAGCTTTTTTCGCTCATTCTTGCGCTCTTGGAGGCGCTGTGTGCGCGTCGCAACCATTTTTGATTTGAAAGAGATCGGCTCAAGAGGCTCGCTGTCTGCTCGTAGTCCTGTGGCAAAAAAATGACGTCTAGGCCTCTACGTCTGTTAAGACGTCTGTCAGGTCCTAAACACTCACGACTTCAACCCGGCCGACCGCGGCAGGAGGACGTTCGCGCCGCCGCCCTCGACGACGACGTCGGTCGCCGCGAGGCCCGCCGCGACGCACGCGCGGATGGCGGGGAGGTCCGCGTCCTGGACGACCTTGGCCTTCGGGCCGGACATGGCCGAGCCCGCCTGCGAGTGTTTCTCGAACGCCGCGAGCGCCGGCGCGAGCGCGCCGTCGTCCGCGTCGGCCGCGACGAGGCCGACGTGCGCCAGCACCTCGCGCAGCACCGCCTCGCGGAGCGCGAGGTCCTTGGACGTGAACTCGTCGAAGCGGACGTTGAGCGCGCCGCCGACGGGGTCCCCGGGCCCGCGCGCCGCGCGCCGCGCCGCGACGAGGTCCGCCCAGCCGGCGACGGACTCGACCCAGCGCGTCGCGAGGAACGCGACGGGCCACGAGGAGACGCTTTGCAGCTCGGGCCGCGTCGGCAGCGGGCCCCGGCCGAGGAGCCACATGAGCCGGAGCGGCGCGGGGATGCCGCCGCCGAACTTGAGGCCCGCGAAGGACTGGACGACCTGCTCGCAGGCGCGGTACACGTAGACGTGCGTCGACGTCGGGAACGCGGCCGCGGCCTCGGGCACGAGCGCGTGCGGGCCCGCCTTCGGGTTCAGGAAGAACTGCGTCGCGCCGCTCCAGCCGTCCTGGAGGCGCGCGATCGTCGCCTCGGCCGCGACGCAGGCCGCGAGCGCGCGCCGGAGCTTGGCGGCGTCGGCGCCGCCGTGGCCGTACATGAGCTGGTCGAGCCAGTGCGGCTCCGAGAGGGACACCGCGCCGAGGTTCGTCGTGGCCTTGTGGAGCAGCGTCGAGCCGCAGCGGCCCGTGTTCCACACAAAAGAAACGCGCCACGCGCCCGACGCGAGGTTGCGACGCGCGGCCTTGACCGCGTCCTCGACGGACGCGAGCGACGCCACAGCGACTTCCGTATCGAGCGCCAGGTGCTTCCGCAGGCCCCGGTCGATGAAGGCCTCGTCGCGCCAGACGGCCGCGCGTTCGGCCGGGGGCAGCGCCGCGAAGACGAGGTACGGCGATTCGCCGCCGACGTCCTCGACGGCGTAGAGCACGAAGTCGGACCCCGGCGCGAAGAGCTCGGCGACGGGGATGTCCACGGCGGGTTCGGCGACGTCGAGGTAGTGCGCGGCCGGCCGGCCCGGCGGCCCGGCCGTCGCGCCGCCGGGCGAGTCCGTGCGGTCCACGGCCGCGAGCGTGAAGACGCGCGCGCGGCCGCGCGGTGCGCCGCAGCTCGACAGCGGGTGCGCCTTCTTTTTGGCGAAATAGAAGGCGGCGGCGGAGGCGACGAGAGCTGCGGTGATGCTCGTGTTGTTGGGAGCCATCGCAGTGGTGTTTTTGCTGCGGCTGCCGCTGGTGGCCGGCCTGGTGCTGGCTGCTTTCTGCTGGCGCTCGCAATTGTGTATTCTTCCTGGAAGACGCCGAGCCGGGGCTGCTTGTGCTCGACGAGAGGGCAGCGCGATAAAAGGTCGTGCCGCGTCGTCGTTTACCTGCACGTTGCTGCACGTCATCCCCGATCGCCGCTGATGCTCTGAGCGTTCTTTGCGCTCCGTCACCTCAGTACCATGCTCAAAACCCTCTCCCTGCTCTCCACCGCTGCCAGCAGCCTCGCGCTGTGCCCCAAAAGTGTCCCGTTGACGTTCGGGCCGCGGCAAGCTGTGCTCCGCGCGTCGGCAGACGAGATGATTCCCGCCGCCGAGTGGGACAACTGGTCGTGTACCGGCGACGCCTGCGGCGTGGACTACTTCGACGAGGCCGACGACGGCATCGAGGTCTGTGGCGTCGAAAGCCGCGAAGTCGCGTGCATCGACATCTGGGACGTGAACGGCGACGCGTTCGCCTACGAACCGATCGACGACGCGCCGGCGCCGGCGATCAGCGCCGAGGAGTACTGGGCGCTCGAGGCGGCGGGGCCCTCGCCGGCGCGGCGCACGCGCATGCGCGAGCGCATCTCCGAGGACGCCGCGCACCGGAGACCGAGCGAGACGGCGGACGCCGCCCCGCCCGCCGGCCTCGGCCGCGTCGCGCAGCTGTAGGCATCGCGCGACGCCAACCCCCTTGTAAGAAACTTGTAAGCCCACTCGCGCAGAAGATGCGCACTTGCAGGGGCGGCAACCGCTCGCCCCCGTCGCAAGGGCGGACCGCCGCGCACTCAAACGTTGGCGCCCGGGGGGTTCTTCTTCTTCTTCTTCGTGTGCATGGGGCTCTGCGCGGAGAAGGTGTCGGGGGTGCGCCTCGAGGCCATCCTCGTGAAGGAGGTCTGGAGGGCTATATCGTCCGAACTTGCTGCTAGTAAAAGTCGCGGAGCGTACGCGTGGTCGTCGACGTCTCGCTTGCGGACCCTATCTTGCAATAAAATGGCGCCTCGCGAGGCCAGCCCGGTGCCGCTCGCGCAATGGGGCAGCATGCTCACGGCAGCGACCTGCGCCATGGCCGACGAGCCGATGGCAGCCCCGCACGCAGCCCACCGGGTGACGCCCGAGAAGGCGGCAGCCTTGCACGCAGCCCACCGGGTGTACATGTTCGACGTGAAGGGCTCGAAGGACTCGTTGTTGCCGAGGATCTGCGCCGTCGACGCCGTGGGCATGGGCGCGAGCAACTTTAGCTCGGAGTTCAACTATCTGCGTAAACTTCGCGCGCGCGGCCGCGGGGCTTTAGGACGACCGCTCCCGCCGATTGACCCTCTTACGGGCGCGCCGCCCCCCCTCACATGTTCACGCCGTCCTCGTCGCCGAGCATGTACTGGAGGGACGCGAAGTCGTCCGCGGAGAGCGAGCTGCGGAGGCTCTCGTTCGAGAGCGTCTTCTTCAGCATGGTCACGTGGCCGTTGACGAGCTCGCGCGCGAGGGACTCGGGCACGGGCGACGCGGCGCCGCCGGCGTGCGGGCTCGCCGGCGTCGCCGGCGACGGCGACGGCGCCGCCGGCGCGTCGGCGGGACGCGCGCCGTTCATGATCGTCGCCTTGAGCAGCCGCGACACGTTCGCGTTGACGCGCTCGAGGCGCCGGCTCAGCAGGCCGACGAGGAAGAGGAGCACCATGTTGGAAAAAACGAGCACGACGAGCAGGCTCTGGTGGGCGTCGTGCGCCGGCGCCGCGGGGCACGCGCCCTCGGGCGCCAGCGGGAGCGGCGCCTCGGACGCCATCGCTTCTTCGGCCCGCAGAGGCGCGCCGGCCGGCGGGCGCCGACGACGAGCGGTCGCGCCGATCCGGACCGGCGCGGAGCGGGCGGCGGGCGCGGCGCGACGACGGGCTCAGATCGATGCGGCGCCGGCGGCAGAGCATCATTGCGGCTCCGCTGGCCTGCCTTCCCGTGCTCGAAGGCAGCCCCGAAAGCCGGCTTCCTGCAATGAACCATGCCCAGGCGCCGGTGGAGTTCGGCTTCGACGAGCCGGCGCCCTTCGCCCGCGTCCCCGAGATGCTCCTGTCCGACGAGCCCTGGCGGGATTCGCCGTGGGACATCGGGGCCGTCGAACACGGCGAGCAGCCCGCCGTCATCGGCGGCGGCCTGAGCTCCGCGGACGGCATGCTCTGCATCGAGGTCGGCGTCGAGCGCTCGCGGCCCCGGGCCGACAGCGGCGGGCGGCCGCCGCGCGCGCGCGGCGCGTCGCCGGCGTCCGCGCGGCTCGCGGGCCTCGACAAGCGGCGCGTCGCGAAATCCTACGCGCCGGCGGCGGGCTGGCGCGGCCGGCGGCTGCTGGCCGTCTGCGGCCGGGACCGCGAGGCCTGGCTCGACTACGCGGGCGACGCCGAATCCGTGACGCGGATCTTCGTCGGCTGGGCCGTCGCGCGCGGCGCGAAGCTCTACGTCGACGGCGACGACGGCGTCTGCGTCGCGAGCGGCGACCAGGACGACGCGACGGTTTTTGGCGTGTACGTCGTCGACGAGCGCGCCCTCCTCGCGGCGACGCTCGCGCTGCCGCGGCTGTGCTGCGTCGCGCCGGACGCGCTCCGCTTCGACCTCGCGGACGTGCGGACGTCGCCCGGCGTCGGCAAGGCCGTGAAGCGGCTCTCGGGCGCGCCCAAGGCGGCGAGCGTCGTGCTGCCGGCGGTGCTGGCGCTCTCGGCGGCGGGGCGGCGGCCCGCGGCGCCCGCGGAGTCGCGGGAGGACGGCACGCGCGTCTACGCCTTCGCGGATTGCTCCGCGGCCGAAAAAGACGCGCCGCGGTGCGCCGACGGCGCGCTCTACGGCGCCGCCGACGGCGACGAGCGCCTGTCGCGCGGCCTGCGCGCCGACGAGGTCGAGAAGATCGGCCGCCGCGCGGGCGTCGACCCGAGCCCCGCGCGGACCCGCGCCCGACGACTCGTTTCGCGAGAGACGCGCTCGCGCTCCCAGGTGCCGACGACGCCGCGGCCGACGGACCTCGTCGAGGCGCGGCACAAGATCGCCGCGCGGCCCTTCGCGTTCCCCCTCGGCGGCGACGCGCTGGACCCGGCGACGACGGCGCTCCTAGTCATCGACCTCCAGCGCGACTTCTGCGACGAGGGCGGCTACATGTGCGCCATGGGTCGCCGCGCGGCGTCTCTCCGCTTGCTCTCCGAAAACGAACCCTCCGCTAGGCTACGACGTCGCGCCGCTCCGCGAGCCGCTGCCCAAGGTCCAGGCGGTGCTCCGCGCGTGCCGCGCCAAGTCGATCCGCTGCTTCCACACGCGCCAGGGCTACCGGCCAGACCTCGCGGATCTGTCGGCCTACGCGCGGCGCAAGTTCAAGCGCGCGGGCGTGACCGTGGGTGCCGCGGGCCCCCTAGGGCGCCTCTTCGTCCGCGGCGAGCCGGGCAGCGAGATCGTCGAGGCCGCGCGGCCCCGCGAGGGCGAGCCCGTGATCGACAAGACGGCGAACGACGCCTTCATCGGCACGGACCTGGACCGCCTGCTGCGGTGTGCGGGCGTGCGCCACCTCGTCGTCGTCGGCAACACGCTCGACTGCTGCGTCCACTCGACGCTGCGCCACGCGAACGACCTCGGCCTCTTCCAGCGTCGAGCGACAGGAGTGTTTTTTCGCGTAAATTTCGCCTGAAGATGTGAAGAAATCCGACCCCGTCGCAGACTACGAGACGCTCCTGCTGTCGGACTGCTGCGGCTGCGTCGACGCGCGGCTCAAGCGGTCCTTCGTCGAGAGCGTCTGTCTCGAGGGCGGGCTCTTCGGCGCCGTGGCGACGTCGGCGCACTTCCTCGACGCGCTCCGGCGCTTGGACGCCGCGCCGCCGCCTCCCAAGGAGACGCCCCCCACCACGCCGCCGTCCGCGCGGAGCAGCCAGATGGGCAGCCCCATCGGCATCGCCACGAAAGCGACGGTCGCCGGGGCGCTCTAGGGGCGGTGTTAGAACACGTCGCTGTCCCCGCCGGCCGAGTCCACGGGCCGGCCGTCGTCGCACGCGGCCTTGACCTCGCGCGCCAGGGGCAGGTACGCGCCCGCGGCCAGGATCGTCGCGTGGCCCTTGCGGCCGCAGCGCGCCGTGCGCCCGACGCGGCGCAGGAACTCGTTGGGGTCCCGGGGCCAGTCGAAGAGCACGACGAGGTCCACGGGCTCGTCGAAGTCGACGCCGCGACTCGCGCGGTCCGTGCACACGAGGACCGCCGGGTTTCGGGAGCTCGCGGCCGCGAAGGTCCCCAGGTTCTTTCGCCGCGCGTCGGCGGGCAGGGCGCTGTGGTAGGCCAGCAGGCTGCGGTCCCGGCCCCGGCGGTCCGCGCGCTTCAGCGCGTTCTCGACGCGGCGGCACGACTCGATCGTGTTGCAGAAGACCAGCGACCGCGCGGCCGCGCCCAGGCCCGCGGTCGCCGCGGAGCCGTCGACGGGCGCGCGGCCTAGAGTCAGCGACTCCAGCAGGGCCGCCTTCTTGCGCTCGAAGACGGCGTCGACCTTCTTCGTCGCCGCGGCCTCCTGCCGCGTCGGCGCGGCCTTGGGCCCGTTCCGGCCCTTCTTGTCGCGCGACGGCTTCCGCGCGGGCTTGCCCTCGGCGACGTCCTCCTCGAAGATGGCGTCCAAATCCAGCAAATCGTCGTCGGCCGGGCGCCGCCGGCCCGACGACGACCCCGCCCGGGCCGGCTCGCGGGGCGCGCTGCAGTCCACGAGCGCGACGGACAGCCCGAGCGGCGCGCGGTGCAACCCGGGGCCCTTGAAGGTTTCTAAACCCTCGAACTCGTCGCGGAGCTGCTTCTCGACGCGCTTCGGTAAGGTCGCCGTGACGAAGACGAAGCGCGCCTCCGCGCCGACGCCGTCGGCGCTCAAGATGGGCTTTAGAGCCGCGCCGTCGTCCGCCAGGGCGAGCACGTCGACCTCGTCCAAGACGACGTCGCCCGCGCGCGCGAGGCTCACGGCGCCCATGTCGAGGAGCTTCGCCAGGCGGCCCGGCGTCGCGATCAGGATGTCGCAGGCGCCGCCGCCGCGCTTCAACGCTCTCGCCGCGTCGCGCGCGTCGAAGCCCTCGGACGTCGCGCACCGCGCGCGCACGGCCGCGCCGGACGCGCTCACGGCCCGCGCGACGCCGAAGACCTGCGCCGCGAGCTCCGCCGTCGGCGCCAGCACGACGGCCCGCGGCGCGCAGGCGCCGTCGGCGTTTTTTCGCGGTTCATTGTTCTCTTTCTCCTCGGCGCGGAGCTTCTCGACGACGGGCAGCAGGTACGCGAGGGTCTTGCCCGAGCCCGTCTGGTCCGCGATGAGGCAGTCCTTGTTGTTCGCGACGGCGGCGTAGCACATGGCCTGGATCTTCGTCGGCCCGTCGCCGGCGCCGCAGGCCACCGCCGCGCCGACCATCTCCGCCGACGCGCCCACGGCCTCCCAGCTCTTCGCCGACAGCGCCTCGTTGCCGACGGCGCGCAGCCGGGTGAGTCGAGGCGCGCGTCGAGCGGTGGGTTGCAACAGGGGTGCCGCCGTGGGCAGCGCGACGAGCGCGCATAGCTGCAACAGCATGCCCATCGCCTTCTTCTCGACTTCAAGACTTACGACAACATCGATGTTGAAGCTCCCTGAAGCGGCCGTCCCAGCGTCCGGGAGGCGCGCGCGCAATCTCGACGTGCGCGAGTGGAAACACAGCACCGCATACGAAACGAAAAGTGGAAACACAACACCGTTACATGGACTTTTGCGAGGTCCAGACGTGGACCTGGTCGGCCTGGTTGCAGATCTTCGCGAGGTCGACGAGGACCGTGATGATGGCGATGTTGTCGCCGACGATGAACTGCTTCTGGTTCGGCCCGTTGCGCTTGAGGTGCGCGGCGCGGTAGCGCTCGGCGTCGGCGCCGCTCTCGACCTTCACGTTGCCGTAGAGGGTCACGGAGTATGTCTGCGCGTGGGTCTGGGGCGTGCCCGCGGCCTTGGCGCTCGCCGCCGCCGCGCGCTCGCGGTGCTCCGACGGGAAGTCGTGGATGAGCACCGCGACGCGCTTGTTCTCGGAGAGCGCGCGGAACTTGGTGGTGTCTCGTCGCGTGCTCATGATGATCTTCTCGTCCTTGGCGCAGTACGTGAAGTTCATGAGCGACAAGTGCGGCGCGCCATCTGATAGCGTGCTCAGGTAGCACAGCACGCTCGACGTCAGCAGCTGGATGATCTCGGGAGGGAAGGGCGGCCGGATCTCCAGCGTGTTGACGCTCTCCTCGCGTTTCTTTTTCGGCCACAGCAAGCTGCGCACGACATTGTAGACGACGATGGTCACGACGGCCGTGCCCGCCATTAACATTCCCGTTCGCCGGTCCATAATGTTGCCCAGACGCAAGACGCGTCAGTCGGGCCGCTCGTGCCTGCTAGTTGTAGTCTCGGTGAACGCATCGCCAACTTTGTGGCAAGCCCATCCGCTCTCCGTCCGCCGTCGTCGCGAGAAGCCAGAGCCTCTCGTCCATCGGAGCCTCTCGTCCATCGGAGCCTCCCGTCCATCGAGCTCTCGTCCATCGGAGCCACGGCCCTCATCCTCTCGTCGATCGTCGTCGCCAGCGCCTACGCCTACTACGCGAGCCAGGGCGAGGAAAAAAAAAAGGACATGAAGATGATGTTCTGCGCCGAGGAGGAGAAGGAGCCCGTCGTCAAGAAGATCCTCGACAAGGACAGCGGCGGCGAGCTCACGGAGTCGCTGCTCGACGCCGTCATCGCGCTGAACCCGTCGCTGACGCGCCTCGACGACGCCGCCTTCGCCGCCGGCTGCCGCGTCGTCGTCCGCGCGGACCACGCGACCGCCGTCAAGGGCAAGGGCAAGGTCTCGCTCATCTCCGGCGGCGGCAGCGGCCACGAGCCGGCGCACGCGGGCTTCGTCGGCGAGGGCGCGCTGACGGCGGCGGTCTGCGGCGACGTCTTCGCGTCGCCGAGCGCCAAGGCCGTGCTCGCGGCCATCGTCGCGACGGCGTCGCCCGCGGGCGGCTGCCTTTTAATCGTCAAGAACTACACGGGCGACCGCCTGAACTTCGGCATCGCCGCCGCGACGGCGACGTCGCGCTACGGCATCCCCGTGGAGACGGTCTACGTCGCCGACGACGTCGCGCTGAGCAACGCGGAGTCGCCGCGGGGCCTCGCGGGGACGCTCGCGGTGCACAAGGTCGCGGGCGCGGCGGCCGCCGCGGGCGCGCCGCTGGCCGACGTCGCCGCGGCGGCGCGGGCGACGGCGAGCGCCGTCAAGACCATGGGCGTCGCCTACGAGGTCTGCACGCTGCCCGGCCGCCCGGCGTCGGGCCGCCTCGGGCCCGGCGAGATCGAGCTCGGCCTCGGCATCCACGGCGAGCCCGGCGCCGAAAAGTCGCCGACGCTCGCGGCGTCGGACGTCGCGGACAAGCTCGCCGAGGCCTGCGTCAACGCGCTGCCTGCCGGCGACGACGTCGCGTTGATCATCAACGACCTGGGCGCGACGACCCCAATGGAGCTCGCGGTCTTCGGCGCCGCGGCGAAGCGGGCCGTCGAGCGGCGCGGCAAGACCGTGAAGCGCATCCTCTCCGGCGGCCTCATGACGGCCCTCGACATGCACGGCGTGAGCCTGAGCGTGCTCGCCGTCGACGCGAAGACCTTGGAGCGCCTCGACGCGCCGTGCTGGACGCCCGCGATGCGCACGGGCGACTGGCAGCCCACGGCGCCGCCGGCGCCGTTGGTGGCGCCGGACGCGAGTGTCATCGACGACGTGGCGCCGGCGGCCGTCGAAAACGACCTCGTCGACGCGCGCCTCGCGAACGCGCTCCGCGCCGCCACGAAGGCGATCGTCGACGGCGAGGAGTCGCTGACGGCCATGGACGAGAAGGTCGGCGACGGCGACTGCGGCATCACGCTCGCCCAGGGCGCCAAGGCCGCCGTGTCGCTCCTGGACCGCGCGGGCGGCGCGCCCCGGGGCGCGTGCGCGTTCCTCGCGGCGCTCTCGAAAGCCGTCGAGGACTCGATGGGCGGCTCGTCCGGCGCGCTCTACAACCTGGGCCTCAAGGCGGCGGAGAAGTCCATGCGCGACGCCGTCAAGGCCCACGCCGGGGACTGGAGCGACGCCGACGCCGACGCGGCCTGGAAGCGCGCGTTCGTCGCCTTCGCGGGCGCGATCTCGGAGTGCGGCGGCGCCAAGGTCGGCAGCCGCACGATGTGCGACGCGCTCCTGCCCGCGGCGGACGTCTTCGAGAAGGCGGGCACCCTCGACGCGGCGGCGGCCGCCGCCCAAAACGGCGCGGCGTCCACGGCGAAGCTCGTCGCGACGCACGGCCGCAGCGCCTACGTCTCCGCGGACGTCCAGGACGGCGTCGCGGACCCGGGCGCCCACGCCGTCGGGCTCATGTTCGCCGCCGTCGCCGGCGCGGCGCTCTAGGCAAGCTCCTTAAGTCGCCGCGACGCCGTAGTCGCCCATCTTGGAGCCGCGGACGTCGCGCGGCCCTCTAGGAGGGCTCAAGTTACGCCGCCTCGCTCGACGCCATAATCCCCCATCTTTCCGCCGTGGACGCCGCGCCACAGCGACGCGGGCACGACGCGGAAGTCGAAGGACACGCGCGTCGTCGCGGCCGCGTCCGCCCTCGTAAAGTGGCGGCATCGCTGGCCGTCGAATCGCAGGCCCGTGCCGAGGCGCATCTCCACGGGGCGGTAGTCGCCCTCGCCGGGACGCGACTCGAGGAAGAGCGTGTTCGACGCGGCGACGTCGGTCAGCGGCACCCAGTAGTTGATCTCCGCCGACTCGTGGCGCGCGTAGTCGGCGTCCGTGTGCACGTCGATGCACTTGGAGCCGGGCATCGAGACGCGGAGCGTCGGCGGGCACTGGTAGACGACCGGGCCGCCGATCTGCGGGACCACCGTCTCATTGACGAACGCGCGGTACGCGTCGAGGAACGCCGCGTACGCCGGCGTCGCGTTGAGCCGCTTCAACGTCTTCGTCTGCTTGAGCAGGGCGGCTTTCCAGCTTTTCGGCAAGGCGCGTCCGGCGCGTTTGTAGGCGGAGATCAGCGTCGGGCACGCGGGCGGCCGGGCCGCGTCGAGCGCGGCGACCTCGTGGAGCCGCTCGAGGCTGTCGCACTCGAGGAAGGCGCGCGCCGCCGCGGCCATGCCGATCGCGCTCGGGGCGTCGAAGCGGAGCTCCGCGCGCGCCGCGTGCAGCCACGGCGGCAAAGGCCTCGCGGCCGCCGAGGCTTCGATTGCGCGCTGCTGCTCGGCCGTGGATGCTCGCTCCGCGGCCTCCGCGGCGTCCTTGGCATCCAGGAGCTGGCGGTGAATCGGGAGCGATGCATCGCACGGCGCTTTGTGGCTGCGATGACACTCGATGCCAAAGCGGCACCTGCCGCGCTGCAAGCCATGGAACTTAAGACACAACTCCACACCCGCTGCGTCGACGAGCGCGCAGGCTGCGTCGTCGAGCATCACTGCGATGTATGGACGCTCTCGAGGTCACAATTTACGCGCAAAGAAGGCAGCCCTTTACGGACATGGCGAGCCCATACCCAGCTTCAACTTCTTTGGACGCCCAAGTTTCCCTGGTGTTGCAGATAGAGCATGGGAGCCGATTCTTCATAGCTTGCGATGCTGCGCGCGCTCATCCTCGCCGCCGTCGCACTCGTCCAAAGCGATTCTTCATAGCTTGCGATGCTGCGCGCGCTCATCCTCGCCGCCGTCGCACTCGTCCAAAGCTGCGACGACGGCGAGGTCGACCTGAACGTCTTCGTGTGCTGCGCGAGCGTCAAGGACCGCGACAAGGTCCCGGGCGACGGCCGCAGTGATCCTTACTGCCGAGTCTCCGCTGGCCTTCATGAGAAAACGACCAGCACCAAAAGCGACGACGACCACCCGAACTGGAACGAGGACCTCCACATGGGTTGCGTGTCCGCGGACGCGACCATCGCCGTGCATTGCTTCGACAAGGACAAGTACGACAGCGACGATAGCTTACTCGACGAACACATCCGCGGGTTCGGCAACGCCACGAACGGTGAAACCTTTCACCTCAGCAGCGGGTCGCAATGGGTCGACGTCGCGCTGTCGTGGGCGACGGCGGCTCCCACGACCGCGGCTCCAACGGCCGCGCCCACGCTGACCTTCCGCCCCACGCCGCGGCCGACGACCGCCGCGCCGAGCGCCGCGCCGTCGACGAGCCGCGCGCCGACGACCGCCACGCCTTCCGCGAGGCCGTCGTCCGCTCCCACTCCAGCCCCCTCCTCGCGACCGACGACCGCGGAGCCGACGGCCGCGCCCCACGCGAAGAAGAAGAAGACGGACGCGGAGCGCGCCTCCGCCGGCATCGTCGTCGCCCTCGCGTTCCTCGCCGTCGCGGTGCTCGCGGCGGGCGGCTTCGTCGCCAAGGCGCTCTACGACACGCGGCGGCAGGGCGTCCACCACGCCATCGAGGGCGTCGAGCTCGCCACGGTCGAGGCCGTCCGCGACAACCCGTTCGACGACGGCGGCTACGAGATCGCCATCCCCGTGAAACGGGAGTTTGTGTAAAAGTGTGTGTTTAATAGTCGGGCACGTCGAGCGCCCGGAACGTGTTCGGCGGGACGACGTCCTCCTCCGCGGCGATGGGCCGGCGCCGCGGGTCCGACGGCGACGCGGGCCGCTCGTGGTCCTCGTCCGGGATGTCGAAGTCGACGGAGTGGGCGCCGTACTCGACGGGCGTCGTCGGCGTCGGCGGCGCGGGCGGCGGGAGGTCGAGGCGCGCGGGCGCGTCCTTGGCCGGCGGCGGCGGCGGCGGCGGCTTGCCCCGGGGCGGCGTCTTCGCCGGCTTGAGCGGCGGCCGCGGCGGCTTCGCCGGCGACCGGCGCTTGTGGTTGAAGATCCACGGCGGCGCGCGGAGCCCCGCGCCCGAGTGGTTCCGCCGCAGCGCGAGCGCGAGCGCGTCCGCGGCGCCCTCGTCCCAGCGGAGCAGGTGCGTCGCGAGGAACTTGAGGACGCTGAGCTGCGCGTGGAGCGGGCGCGGCGCGTTGTGGTCGCCCGCGCACATGACGATGGCCGCCGTCGCCGGCGGCCGGTCGTCGCGCCGCCGCCGGTCGCCCTTGGCGTCGTCGTCGCGGCGCGCGTCGCGGCCCGCCGCGTGGCGCGCGAGGAGCGTGCGCGCGTGGCTCGACGGCGTCACCTTGTCCTCCGCGGCGCTCAGGCACAGCAGCGACACGCCGCGGTAGCCCAGGCTCTCGGCCGCGCGCGACGTCCGGACGCAGCGGACGTCGAAGCGCGCGCGCCGCGCGACCTTGACGCGGACGGCGCGGGCCAGGGGCTCCTCGATGGCCGAGCTCGCGGCCGTCGCGAGCCACTCGGACGGCGAGAAGAGGCGGCTCTTGCGGGCCTTGGGCTTGTCCACCGCGATGTCCGCGGGCCGCCGCGCGGCCATGCCCGGACCCTCGCGCGAGCCCTTGCGCTTCGGCGGCTGCGCGAGGCCCTGGAGGCTCTTGGGCGACCCGAGGTCCGCGACGCGCTTCGACACGGGCGTCGCGTTCGCCGCGTCGTCCGACACCTTCTTGACCTCGGCCCGCCACGCGGCGGGCGCGCGCGCGTCCTCGTCGACGTCGAAGCTCTCGTCGCTCGCGGCCTCGTCGCACTCGCTCGCCGAGAGCTCGTCGCTGTCGTCGACGGACTCCTCGGACCGCTTCGACGGGTCGCCGACGCCGATGTCGTCGATGATGGACTTGGCCGCGGCCTCCTCCGCGTCCTTATCCGTCGAGAGGCCCAGCGCGCTCCGCGTCGCGCGCGCGACGAGCTCGGAGCAGAGGCTCACGAGCGATTCGTAGATGGAATCCGCAACCACACAAGAGATGTCGGGCTCGCGCTCGCCCGCCGCGAGCACGGCGGCCACGGAGCCCATGCTCCGCCCCCAGAGCGCGACGCGCTTCGCGCCGAGGTGGCGCCGCGCGTGGCGCGCGACGAAGGCGACGTCCTTCGCCTCCCGCAGCCCCAGGCTCACGTGGTCGCCGCCGGAGGCGCCGCTGCCGCCGCAGTCCATGGCCAACACCCGCACTCCTAAAATCGCGCAGGACCGCAGCGACTGGAGCACCTCCGCGCGGCACGACGAATTCCCGTGGCAGTAGATGACGCAGCAGTCGTGGGGCGCCACCGCCGCCCCGAACAAATCCGCCTTGGCCTCCTCCCGCCCGCCGTCGGGCGCGACGGGCCCGCGCCGCGTCGCCGTCTTCGCCGCGAGCGACCAGACCGCGCACTGGAGCGGGCCCGTGCGCGACTCGACCGTAAAATCGACGCGGCACCAGGCCTTGGACGACGCCCGGAAGCGGCCGTCGCGGCTCCGCTCGTAGACGAGCGCGTCGAAGACGCGCGGCCCGAGCGCGCGCGTCGGCGCGCGCCACCGCGGCGGCCGCACGACGGCCGACGTGAGCGCGTCGACGACGCCGAGCCGCTCCATGATGGGCGCCGCGTTGCGCGGCGGGCGGCCCTCGGCGTCGACGGCCTGCGACGCCTCGACGGCCTGCGGGCCGTCGCCGCCGGCCGCCGCGTCGACGGCCGGGCGGCACCGCCGTAAATTCGCGTCCGCGGCGTCGGCGATGGCCCGCCACCACCGGGCCAGCTCCGCCTCCGAGTCGAAGATGAGGCGCGCGCCCGGGTGGTCGCCCCTGAGCGCGTCGCGCGCGCCCACGGGCTGGAGCACGTGCGTGACGCCGTTCGGTTCGCCGTCGCCTAAAATTTCGCCGACGCCCCGCGGGCAGAGGGCCAGCTCCCGGCGCCGCAAATCCACGGTGACGTCCACCAGACCGAGCTCGTACTCCTCGAGGCAGAAGGGCCGCGACTCCAACACGAACTTGAGCGTCCGCGCGTCGCCGCCGAGCTCCGCCCAGCAACGGACGTAGTCGCGGCGCCCCGCGGACTTGGACCGCCGCACGCGCACGCGCACGGGCGCCGGCTCGAACTCCACGGGCGACATGGGGTCGCCGCTCGACGCGTCCTCGTCGAAGTCGACCTCGTCGTAGTCGGACACGGACTCGTCGTCGCCGTCGAGCTCGCCGGCGCTGAACGCGCGGCCCCGGCAGCGCACGTTCTCCGTGCGCAGCAGGGGCGCCGGGGCCGACGCGTCGCGCTCGTCGTCGACAAAACCGTCCTGGAGCCAGCGCAGCGTCTGCGCGAAGTCGAGCGACGCCTCCGCGGGCCGGACGGCGTCGCCGCCGTCGTCCAAAGACCGCGACGCGGGCCCGGGGCTCGCGCGGTCGACGGCCGACTCGTAGGGGTCGTCCTCCGGGTCCTCCTGCGACCCACCGTCGAACACGTCCAGACTCGCGTCCCGCGACCCCGGGGGCCGCAGGTCCTCGTCGCCGCTGTCGTCCGAGTCGTACAGGCCGCTCCGCTTCTCCGCCTCGTGGTCGCCTGTGTGGAAATCAAATCTTCAACCCGACT